GTTGAGAGTATAATGGCATGAAGATAGATATTTGAAACAGAAGATGTCAGATTGGATCTAATTTTTGAATAAACGTATAATTTCTGTTATGACTTGTACATGATCACGATAAGTCAAATGAGAATCCAAAGTAATTCCAAGATATTTGTAGGTAGTGACAATATCAAGGGGTTTGTTTAAAAAAGTGAGTTGATTTGTTATATTGAAATGTCTCCTGGGTGAGGAAAAATACCACACAGTTTGTTAACATTAATTGACAAAAGATTATTATTATTTTTGGCTGATATAAGATTTTAAAACTTGGTTAGGTGGACAGTTTTTGCAGTGTACCCTAGTAAAAAAAATCTCAGTATAACAGTAATAATTAGCGTTATTATTAAACATTATTTAGGCAGAAAACATGAGCTCCCTCACACTATGACATGCCTTTACAGGTTAGTTCAGCTACAAATCTTCCAGCTCCTAGTTCCTCACTGTGCAGCTACTTCCTGTACCACCCCAGCATCCTCTGAGGTCAGAGGCACCATAATGCCAAACTCTCTACGGCAGGCCATTTTAACATATAATTAGTTTTATCACACTTGCATTCCAGATATCTGAAATTGATTTACATATTTGTTAATTGAGATATCTCTAATTACATTCCGACTAGTATAAATGATGTCCAATTACCATTAAGTTGTTTTAAGGCTCAAAAATAATTATTTAGGATATGTTGAATTAACTTTCTGACTAGTCAAAATGTTAATACTGGGGGGCTTACATGCCATTTCTTAATTCAGATATTTAAAACTGTAATGTTTGAGATGTCTTGAATTGTTTTGACAGTTATCTCGGTGTCATTATTTGAGATATTTTTGTAAAATAAATTTAGTTTTCATTAAATGAAGTTGAGACGAAAACACAAATGTTGAATAAATAGAAATGTAAAAGGAATGAGGACCATACAACTCCAGTGACTGGATATGAACGGTGCTTTAATGCTGTCAAAGCAAGCAGGAAACAAACGCTGACAAGAAGCCGGAAGTTCCAGCATATTTATACATGTTCTTCAGTGGTGCGCCCTCTACTGGTCTACGGCTGAATCACAGGCACTCAGACAAAAAAACCTGTCCTTATGTTTGATTAACATTTTTTTATGTGTCATAAAAATATTTTGGGCAGGTATCTAAACTATTTTAATCAAGACATAACAATAGTTAAACAATGGATTATAACAGTCAATACTTAAAAAGGAAAACTAAGAAAATGGTGTA